ATTTTAATACTGTTAATGATTGTACGGAATCTTGTGAATATATTTCTGTGAAAGGCGCTTTATAAATAAAACTTTACTTACTTACTAAAACCTGAAGTTTTGCTCAAATCAGCTGTAATATTTACAGCTAATATTCATGTTTTAATCAATGTTTGAACGATCAGATTAAAAAAAACACTCAGGTTAAACTCACTGGACTACAAAAAAAAACCTAAATGAAACTCTTTAAAAGCAGACACACACACACACACACACACACACACACAGGTTACAGCTCACTGGCTCAGGTAATAAGACTGCGGCAGCATTAACAAGTTCTGCCTCACCTGTGCTTTTCCTGCTATGATAAGAAAAAAAAGCGTCTCCTGTGGAATAAAAGTCTATTAGAGCAAAGTGAAACGTCTTTAGAGCAGCACAGATGCTCACGCTGCAGGAAGCAGCTGCTGCTCATCTGAAGATCTTTTCCCTGCGATCAGATCTGATTTAACTCAATCACAGGCCGAGGATCAATAACTAATCTATACTTAGTTGCAGGAAGTTCACTGATTAACTCAACCAGACTGGATTTATTAGTTAAAGCAGAGCTAATGTGGATTATTTAACCTTTGAATTCAACACATGTCCCAGTCTACATWAATAAACTGCAGAAAGAGTTGTTCTCTCGTTTAAAAAAAAAGTGATTTTGATTCGTTTCACGGATCCTTAAATGTTGATTTTGATGTTTAGAGAAGCAGCTGCTCCTGCACTGTCTTTCAGGCCTTTAACACAAAAGCAAACATTTGTTGCAAAAACACCTGAAAGACGCTTTAGAGAGGTTTTATCCTGCAGGGGTTTCTGGACGGGTCACGTAAACAAACAAACAAAGACACAAACAAAAGCAAACTGAGCTTTTAGGGTCCGGTTAGAACGGAGAAACAACGTTTTCTGCAAGTTTCGGTCTGAAAGCTTCTGTTCCCTCCAAACACACTCTGCTCCAGACACATCAGTGGGTTCACGGGGTCCAAACTCACCTGGATCTGGATGATCCCCGACAGGAAAAGAGCCCCGAAGGTGATCAGCAGGGAGCCAATCAGGAACAGGAACACCGCCACCCCGATGGCCTTGTAGGGAACCTTCGGCGGACTCTTCATGAACTGGAATCAGGTGCAGCTTTCATCACTTTTCTGAGCGAGTTTATGAAGTTTTACTGATGAACAAGAACGTTATCCGAGTCTCAAGTTCAACCAAGTTACGTCCCGATTGTTGTGTGAGAAAAGCGTCTCACCTGCAGGTCGATGTAACCGTCATCGTCAGCGGCCAGACGGGAATATTTGACCTTGTTGTTGGAAACCCCAGCAGACAACATGGTMCTTCCTGCAGACTTCAGCTGTTCTGCAAAATAAAACGATAAAATTCTCTTAACACGTCCACAGCTCGGTGGTTGTATTTAATACAAACTGAAGACATTTATTGGGGTTTGTTTACTTACTGAGTTTTAAAAGCACCACACATTCTGTAGGGTTTTTTTTCTTAGGTCAGGGGTCTGCAACCTTTATAATCAAAAGAGCCATTTCTGCTTTTTGTCTCACTGATAAAATGCGTTCAGAGCCAAAAAAAAAACTCTCAACAACCATCCAAGCATGAGATTAAAATATTTTATTTAAAATCAGAAAATATCTGAAGATTATTTTTAACACGAGATGTTGACAAAATATGAAAAATCAACAGAACACACCCGGCAGGAAGTGTTTCCTTCATTGTTTTCATTTCCATTGTGTTGTCTCTRTTTAATCATAAAACCAGTTGAAAAGTAAATCTCTCTCTCTCTCTCTTCTTTTTCTGCATTATTCCTTCCTTCTCATCTCACTGGGTATGATGGTAACTTTGTGAGTCTTCTCCTGTTACTTGTGGTGTTCCACAAGGATCAATCTAAGGGCCTTTGTTGTTCTCCTTATACACGCTCCCCTTGGGTCAAATCATTGAATTTTAACATCTCTTATCATTCATTTGCTGATGACATTAATGAGACTGATTCTCTACATGAGCTCATCGTTTSTCTGGATGCCAGAAGAGACTGGATGGCTGATGACGTCTTACAGTCAGACTGAGGTGATGATTGTTGCTCCTGACAGGACGGTGCCTTCGATGAGGCTAACTCCTGGGCAACTTTCCTCTGCTGTCCACGCTAATGTTAGAAAGCTAGGTACTTGTACGGCTACTTGTTCCTCGATCCCGACTAAAGACACGTGGGGACGGAGCATTTCAGGTTGTAGCGCCTAAATTTTGAAACAAATTACAGCAATCTCTAAGAGCTGCAGATTCRGTGGAGATTTATAAAAAACAGCTTAAAGTTACCTTTATAATCTGATTTTAACATATTTGTATGAGGTTTTTTGTTGTCTTATTAATGATTTTATCATTTGTAAATGTATTTTTACATGCTGGTTTTATTTTGAAGCTTGATTGTGAAGCACTTTGTGGCTAAACAACTGTAAAATGTGCTGTACAAATAAAGTTACTTACTTACATTTAGTTCCTGTATAACAAACTCCACTCAGTGGCAAAAATATTTAAACTAATAATTGATTCATTGTATGCCTGTATTTACCTGCCTCTCATAGATAATTTATCGAGTTTTTATTATTTTTATTATTATTATTGTTATTTCTTGATTGTTTTTCATTGATGTTTGGAGTTTTTAATCTCCACACACTGATGTTATGGTTAAGAATATTTATTTATTAATACACAATATTTTGTTTGTTTGTTTTCAGTAATGTAATGTATTGTACCCTGTATTTTCTACTCTGATGTAAATAAAATTATATAAATTTAAAAAAGAAAGTGAAATGAGGCAGAAATATTGAGGTTACTTTTTTTTAATGGAGCAGGAAAATAAAAAAATCCAGTCCAAACACTAACCATTTCAGTTTAAACAAACCTTTTTAATTACTTTTGTTAGTAAATGTGTTTTGGTTAATTTAGATTAATTATTTTTTAACCCCAGAGGSCTGCTCTTAAATACTATATTGATGCCTTTAAAGCATTCAGTTTAGTCACATCTGTAACAGGAAACAGAAAATATCTAATTTAGAAATAAAGACAAAAAAAGAAAGACTACAGACACACAAACACTGATCTGACTCTCTCAGAACAGTTCCTGTTTTATTAAAAACTTTTACTTTTACTTCCTCTGCAGTTTTAGTGAAGCTGCAGAAGGAAACGTACAGAAAATCTCACAAGTAGAACAGAACTTCTTATTTTATTTATTTGTTTGTTTGTTTGTTGTTCTATAGGGATATATTAGTCATTTATGTGATTTTAAAATGTTTTTCCTATTTTTTACTGCTTCTAAGCAGAAAGACATTTCCATTGATTTCATTTGTTATGTTGAAAATGTTATGTTAATCCTGCAAAGCACTTTGTTTTGAAGATGGATAAAACGTGCAAATAGTTTGATAAAAGCAACAAGAGCAGTTCTGAAGAAAATCTGGGGACTTTTGAGAGATTTTAGCTCATTTTAGCTCATCTTTGTATCAGATATTGTGCATACTTGTAAAAGGCAGCTTAAATACTTGACTTGTCCAGTATTTACAGAGCCACACACTGCCAACWAACAAACATTAACACAGGGTTTTATGAACTAAATAAGGAGATGAGCCAACTTGTTTTGGTCGTGAGCTCTAAATTGTTAGCTTTAGCATTAGCCTCCAAGAAGTTTTGCTACGATAATGTTGTGAACAGAGAAACGCGACTGGTTTAACCTATAAACTTTTTTGTATCTTACGTTTATGTGAAGTAAATTAAAGGCCATTAAAACTTACTTTTAGCTTAAGCTGCTCCTCCGTTGTGCCACATATCTGCTGTGTTTTCATTCAGTGAAAAAAAAAAACACTTCCGTGTTTTGCTTTTATGGCGCATGCGCAGAAACACTCCCACACAGGCGCCCTGTATCTTATTAACTCGTGTTCACTCACGTGGGAGGGGTTAAACAGGACTAAAACAGCAAATTAAAAAAAAACAATTCTTAAAAAGTCATAATTTATCATCTCTAGCAGGGGAGTAACTAAAGGGTGGGCCAAGGGGGGCAATGGTAACCACTAAAAAAGCTACAATGGGAATTTTGTTATCAACCTGATACAGAGTAAAWACTAAATTTTACTTGAAATATCGTGTTCACTGAATAATTTTGTGATTTTACRTTTAGTTTGTCAAATGTGATAAAACAGGATTACGATTTTAAGCAAATAAACTCGTTTTCTGTTAACTAACGACAGGAAAAACAAAGTAATAGTATAATAAAATATATCCCCTTTTCATTTCCATAACACAACTTTTAAGAAAAAACARTCACTATATCGTGTAAAAATAAAACAATGTAACAAAAATATAACAGTGTCGACAATRCAACAAAAAATACCCTCCAATGAGATCACGAAGAGGAGAGGTTTCAGCTAATAACTCCAACAACTGTGAGACTCTGCACTACTGGCTTTATTTTCACTTTATATGAGAAAAAATAAAGTCATCAGTGCAAATAAGTGTGAATAAAAGTATCTACTGTATGTCATTGTATCCAATACCGATGCTCATCTTTGTATCGATATTTTCGATGAAAATAAAAAGCTAAAAAAAAAAACTCTCTTCTAGCTTTTGTTTTTGTTTGTTTTTTATGGGCCACCCCTGGATTTTCAGTGCCTCACCATTAAATTAAAATTAAATAAATAAAATAAAATTCTGGAGGCGCCACTGGCCCCTTCGTGTTGCTGAATGAGAACTAACTGCACAGAAATATGAACTCCTTACTGTCATAAACAAGACCGCTCCTCTTTGTTTATTGTGAGAACCTTGAATAAAATTTGGCGAGTCAAGAGAGAAAACAATAAAGAAGAAGTGGAAATAAAGCTTTAAATCAGGAGCATCGCTGAAGCCTTTACTGTAGGAACTAAAAACCATAAAGTCCAAATGGCATATCAGCAACATTTCCAGAGTGAATCAGACTCGGCCCGTGCACAGGGTGGGATTTATGAAGGGATGTAAACGTCCCTGTGCAAACAGGAAAAAACACTTCACAAATAACTTATRGGTTTTTCTTCTAAAAAGAACTCTAACTGTAAGAAAATCATTAAACACATAAACAATAAAGCAAACAGAAACTCTACAGGCTTGAATAATGTTTTAAAACAATCTGGACGTTCATGCCAGTGTACGTCCGGTGCCACAGAAATGACCAAACGGCTCCTTCTTCTTATTTTCTTTGAACAAAACTCTGCTCCTGCTGCTGCCCGGGCGATAAAAAAAATGAAACTTTGAGGAAACTGTTCCTTTCTGCTGCGAAGGAGCTGGCATCACCTCAGCAAGCCTGTACGCYGGTGTTAGATCATTCCCTACAGCTCATTTCCTTTCACAGCACAGTCAAAAGGTGATTTGTCAGACTTGTCTTTGTCTCTTTTATCATCTCGTTCTTAACTCTCTGGCAAAAAAAAAAAGTGTTTAGCAACCAGAGGACAAAAATCCAATTTTGGTGCACAATCAGACCATCGGGAGCACGTAAATGATTCACTTTGTAAGAAGCTTGTCTATAMAAGGCACCAGAGGACATATAGGAGACTGATAGTGTTATCAGGTAGTTGCTAGAGCATTCAACAGTGAGCTAAAACAATGACACCAGACAGAGAAGTCGCTTCGTAGACACGTAGATATGACCAGGGCTTAACGACGTTTAATAGTGGTCTACATTAGCCGTGTTTCCATCAACATTTTTTATGCGCATTTTGAACTATCTTTTTTTTATGGCCTCCCTTCTCCCCTTATAGCCACCCTCTCCACACCATTATTATGAAATGGTTTTTTTTATAATGGAAGAAAAAGAAGGAGAAAGAAAAAAGTGAAATGCAATGAGAAAGAGTGAAAAAGAGACCAGAAGACATGCAAAATACATGCCGAGAAAACACAAGACAGCACACCGCACCTCTCCGCTCCTCACCCTTTTTTTTAAGTGAAGAGAAAATAGAGACAGAGAGAAAAAC